CATTTTAAAGCACTAATTCCCGATAACGCACTGATATTTTACGCTCGAAGGGAATTAGATAAATTTCAATGCATATTATCTTTATGCAAACCACTTGACTCACAATGCCAATGGTCCGGTCCTCTCGTTTGGTACATTTTCTATGGATATAGCTATCTATCCGTGCTTAATCGCTTATAATTCGATCGAGAATTGAATTATGATACAACGTTATTGAATACAACGATCATGAATAGCTTAATATTATACTTATTACACCATCATAATTTTCGAACCATACAATTCAAGATAAGTACCATCGGCCACATTATTCTCCATTTAATATTGTAAGTACTATTCAATTACTTATTTTATTTATAGACTTTATTTATAAATACAAGGACAACATTTTAACCTATGAATATCAGTGAATTAATCACTAAAGACAAGTCGAATCTCTGCAAAATAAAACAAAGATCACTGATACGTCGGATCGGAGTGGAGACAGGCGGGCCGTGACAGTTGATAGGTCCGATACGCATGCAAAGCAGCTTCCAATACATCTGAGGGGCGTGGGACAATTGATTGACGCTGACGTCGATACAGCGAGCGCTCCGACTGATCGGAGACAGAGACTGATCGCTCATCAGGGCGGCTACCACCACACCCTGTCAAACTGAAGTGTCGGACGATTGGACGATACGTGCATGTCGTTAAAATATTAGCATAAATCAAAACTTCTTTGCACCAATATAAAGACATTGTGCATGCTGCATTGAATGCACAATTTTGTGCGTTTATGATAACTTACATGTACCGCTTTAAGTTCCCCTTGATTATAAAATATTTGATATAATATAAATGTGCTAATTAGACAACTGTTTAAATTCCAGGCGGTGTGTTACCTCCATGAAAATAAAATTATACACAGAAATATAAGATGCAGTAACATTTTGATCACCAAGGATGGCGAAGTAAAATTAATAGACTTTGCCTTATCCTGCAAATTAAGTGGAAACGCAGAAAAAACAAAAACAAACATTGGTTCACCAAGCTGGATGGCTCCAGAGGCTGTTGCTGTCGGTGAAGATGGTTACGATAATAGAATCGACGTCTGGGCACTGGGTATTACTACTATTGAGATGGTTGACGGCAAAGGACCTTTCCAAGACATGCATCCCACTAGAGCTATGTTCCAAATTTTGAGGAACCCTCCGCCGAGCGTTTGCAAACCATCCATGTCTTCTAACGACATTAATGATTTCATTGCTGAGTCAGTTTAACGAACTATTTTATTTATTACATAAGTCAATTTCATCTCAAACATGAGATTTTTATTTGTATTTCAGATGTCTTGAAAAGAATCCAGAACATCGCCCTTACATGATGGAATTGGAGGAACATCCATTTATTCAATTAGTGCCAGAAAATGATTATCATGTATGTGATTTTTACCATTATTGATAGTATCTTGGAATAAGTTCGTTTTAAGTTACATTTAAATGTATTTTGCTCGTTCCAGTTGTCCACAGAGCTAAAAATGCTTGCAGTCGATTTAAATAACACTCCGGCGCCTGAGAAAATGCCTGAAAGGATAATCAAAAATGGACTCTTAAGGACTGAAGGTGTTCATGAAGCAGAAACGATGCAAGTAGAAGATCTTGCAGCGTTGGATATATTAACTGAAGACAATCTGATATCAGAATTATATACTAAGCTTGCGAAAGGATCTTTTACATCTTTTATCGGCGACATTCTATTGATTTTAAATCCTAACATGCATGCCGATATCTACGGTGAAAATGTAAGTGTTATAATTGCACAGACTAACAAAAATACATTTAATGAACGTGATTATTTATTTTCAGTATCATAAAAAATACGAATGTAAATCCAGATCTGACAATGAACCACATATATTTGCGGTTGCTGATGGCGCGTATCAAGACGCAATGCATCATAATGAACCACAACATATAGTGTTTTCTGGAGAAAGTAAATCTGGGAAAACAACAAGTATGACTCATGCACTCTCGCATCTTACTCATTTGGGTGCTATGAAAAATAATACAGCTGAGAGGATTCAGAAAGCAAACAATGTAGTACAAGCATGTATAAGTGCTGCAACACCTGTAAATCCTAATTCCACGAGAGGCATCTTACAAGTTCAAGTTACGTATGGGAGCTCTGGAAAATTATCTGGAGCTATATTTTGGCTTTATCAACTAGAGAAGTGGCGGGTCTCTTCTACTGACATGTAAGTGACTTTTTTTTTACTAATAGTAGCCGTATTTGTTTTTAAATGTCTATTAATGGGATGTTGTTTCAGGTCTCATGCGAATTTTAACATTCTTTATTACTTTTATGACGCAATAGAAGCTGATAATAGGTTAGAGGAATTGTGTTTAGAAAAATATAGAAAACATCGTTATTTGCGTATTTTAGAAGAACCACCTAGAGGTGTGAGAGGTGTTCGTGAAACGCCAACCGAAAATGTAGCAAAATACAAAGAATTTGTTGATAATTTAAAAATTCTAGATTGGGAGCAGGAGGATATTGCGTTCTTTGAAACAGTACTAGCAGCCATACTAGTAATTGGTAATGTAAGATTTAAAGATAGCAAAAACGGTACCGCAGAGATTGAGAACCCAGAAGAAGCAAAGAAGGTTGCTAAATTACTGTCACTTGACGAAGTGAAATTTCTCTGGGCTTTATTAAACTACTGTTTGATCGAAAAGGGTTCTGCGACCAAAAAAAGACATTCCACTGATGAAGCAAGGGATGCTAGGGATACTCTTGCAAGTGCTTTGTATAAGAGATTAATCGATTGGATGATAAATGTGATCAATTCAAAGTTATCATTTATGAGATCTGTATTGTAAGTGACTGATATTTATGTTAAATAAATTTATAGAAAATGAACTCAATAACCATCTTATATTTTTTACAGCGGTGACAAATATTCGGTCAGCTTGCTAGATATGTTTGGTTTCGAATGTTTTCATAGAAACCGTTTGGAGCAATTGATTGTTAATACAACGAATGAGCAAATACAATTTTTGTACAATCAGAGAATATTCGCTTGGGAAATGCAAGAAGAGGAACAGGAAGGCATCCAAGTAGCACCTTTGCATTATTATGACAATAAGAGCTCCGTAGATCAATTGATGGCTAGACCAGCTGGAATTTTTTATCTTTTAGATGAAGCGAGTAGAAATGGAAACGGACAAGAATTTATAATAAGTACGTTCATTTTATAAATCTATCAATACTAGAGATTTGAGACAATCTTTACATAAAATATCTTACTAATTTCAGGTGCCATAAGAACATCTAATAAAGGCCCGTACATTAAAATGTCTGGTAGTCATGAATTCAGTGTTGCACATTACACGGGCAAAGTCAACTACGATGCTAGAGAAATGGCTGACAAGAACAAAGATTTTCTTCCACCAGAAATGATTGAGACAATGAGAGCGTCTCTCAATCCCACTCTTCAACAATTATTCAAGAACAAATTAACTAAAACAGGAAACGTGACCATCGTTTCACAACAATCGAAGCCACAGGCCTCTAGATCAAAGTCTGAAAAAGAAATGGAAAACCTTAAAGCTAGGGTAAGTCTTATTAAAAAAACCGATTAGAAATTATTTATTTATTACAAAAATTAAATAACTTTCAGAAATACAATACAGTATCTCGAGGCCATTACTCCCAGAGTCATAGGATGAGGACAGCAGCGGCTACCTATAGGGCTACCAGCTTGGAGATTCTGAAGCAGCTTTCTATAGGCCCTGGAAGTGGTGGCACCCATTATGTCCGTTGCGTTAGAGCGGACTTGAACGACAGCCCTCGCGGTTTCCAAGGAGAAGTTGTACGCCAGCAATTGAGGGCTCTTGCTATTTTAGATACAGCTAAAGCACGGCAGAAGGGATTCTCATGTCGTGTACCTTTTGCTGAGTTTATACGCAGGTAAAAAAGCTATAGATTTAACGGTTGTAAGTAACGTATATCTGTAAAACCTTTTTACGATTACATTTGTGTCTTACAAGATATCGATTCCTGGCTTTTGACTTCGATGAGAACGTGGAGGAGACCAAAGACAACTGCCGTTTGTTGCTGATCCGTTTGAAAATGGAAGGCTGGGAATTAGGAAAATCAAAGGTGTTCCTCAAATATTACAACGAGGAGTTCCTGTCCAGGTAAAAATAATGAAACAAGGTGTTAATAATATCTCAGTCTTGCCTCTAAAATCATTAATCATAACAATCTGTATTGCAATATTTTACAGATTGTATGAAACTCAAGTAAAGAAAATCATAAAAGTGCAATGCATGATGCGTGCTTTCTTAGCTAAACGGAAGACGGTTCAAAATAAATCAAAAGCCTTGCACAGTACGTATTATAATATGCAATATCATCCATTGATTTAAAGACATCCTAATATTATAAAGTATTCTATGTTTACAGTTAAAGAACTAAAGAAACAGCAATCAACGAATGTTAGTGAGGATGAAGCGGCACTAATGATACAAAAGGGTTAGTTCACAGTGAATTCTATGGAACCGTAGTTTGATTTGCCACGTAAACCAGAGGAGTACGCTTGTTCCAATCATATTCTAATATCAACTTTTTACAGCGTACCGGGGTTACATGGTACGTAAAGCATACGGACCCCTCATCAACAAGACATCAGGACAAATCGATGAAGAGACCGCGTCGTTTCTGAAGAGATATGCAATGAAATGGAAGAGTCGCTCCATATTCCAAGTCCTGCTGCAGTACAGAGCTATGAGATATCAGGATCTAGTACATTTTTCGCAACAGGTACGGCTTACAATATATTTTTTACTATCGAATGCCCTATAAACAGAAGTAAACAGTTTATGGAGAAAATTAGATGTTTTATAAGACATTCTTTGGCATTTTTCAAGTGGACATTGGGTTCAGCTAATATATTTATAAAATTGATGTAGAGTTTAACTTTTGTTACCCAATTCGTGTTTTTTAGATTCACATCTTCAATCAGGCATTGGTCGAAGGTCTTGTCACTACCAACACATCAGTTTCATTAGATAAAATTGATCCTAACGCCAAAGAGGCCACATATCTAGGATCCGTTCGTCCTACAGTTTGGAAGTTACCCTTCAGAATTGATGAGTTACAATTCTTCGATACATCGGCAATGTGCGATCCAAATGTTAAGAGCACGTGCGTATTAAGACTTTGTCATTCACCTCCTTCTGTTACCTTTCTGACTCATTTTATACTAATCTATTATGTTTCTTTCCTTCTAATATTATCTTATTTATGAAACAGTAATCATAAAAATACTGCTAGTTGAACTGATTTTTTCAATTTAGTAAACATCTAAGCATTCAACGAAAATAGGTACTGCGAAGATTTTGGGTGAGCGTTTTAATAATTCCTTTTTGATAGTTCTTACGAATTGATTGGAAATTTAAATTCACTACCATGACTGTACCATCAACTTAAACATTGCATACATCAGCCGCCAAGAAAATAAACTACATATAATTTTCAGTAGATATAATAAGCATTATCTCATAGAATCCAGATATCCGCTTTTGTGAAGTTATTTGCTTATAAGCAAAAATACAATACATTAACAAAGCCATATAAATTAACAATAAATATCTGATTATAGCGACACCCTCGCCACCCCCAACGATTCCGACCATGAGCAATGGGATGAACCGTTGAAGCGAGGATACTCGACGCAAACAGACCCCTACATGCTGTCTGCGAGCACCCAGACCCTCATAACTATGCCGTTCTGCAGAGACCCCATGCAGCCACTTCCGAAGCTACCCTCCGAGGATACCTTAGCCAGATCTTCAATAAACCAGGACATGTACGTCGGGACAGGTAGCCGTCCAGTCGTTTACAAGAAGAAAATGAACCAATCCCCTCAAGGTTACTACCAACCACCGACACCCTGGGCCAGTCCAAGAGACGATACTGATATTCTAGAAAATACCAGCTCGCCCATGCGTAGGTCGAATTTCAGCCGTAGCATGCATACATTCGATGTCGACATCCAAGACCCTATAAAAGAACTGCAGGCATTGGCCAAATCCACCAACGATCTGAGTGATGACGACCCGCCTTTCAACTTTCAGGCCATGCTAAAGAAGACGCCGAAGAACAGAGCATCCATGAAACGATACAATGAAATGGATGCATTCGGGGACAAGCACGCAGCTCCTAAGTATATCATATCTCCGGATAGGCAAGGAGTTCCTCCTAGATACGACATGCCTATGAATGCACCTCGATCCACGCCATATTATATGTCCCAAGCACCACCCGGTGCGATGTCTCCTGTCATTGAGAGTCGATCTCAGAGAGACTTCATCAAAGAAGATACGGAATATTTCATGACAGATTCGAACAGAGCAAATTCAAATACTGATTCGTATAATCCTAAAAACGGCTCCAAATCTGATGTGTCTACAATTACGGAAATCGCTCCTGGTATTACACTAGAGGGCGCTGTAGCAGATTTGTAGGTCATTAATCCGCGTTACAGTATATGTAGGTGATTTAAAAAAAAAACAGTTTTTCGTGTAAAAATATATTTAATCTCCAATGCATTGGTAGTCCGCAAACAATTCGTATGGCGCGTGCATATCCCGCTTCACTGACACTAATATTAAAGCCATAAGTTACTGTTAAGTCATAAGATTCCGTTAGTAGTTACGATAAATTTGTCAATACAATTCATAGAGTTAAATACCGAAAGAACCTTAAAGCTAGACATGGCTTATAATTCATGAATTCACCAAGGATCTAGTGACGTAGAAAAATATATCAATATTCAATCTTAAATCTAGTATTACTTAATAAAAAATTGCTTTGGTAACTTATTCTTAATTATAACCGAGTGGTCTTAAATATTAATAGTTTAGGGCAAAAGTGTGGTCCTCTGTGGCTAGTGGTAGATAAATAACTAAATAGATTAAAAAAATATGACAAAAATAAGGGTTAAAAAAATATTGTCAAAAAAGCCTCAAAAAAATGACATCTTAATTTAACACATGTTACAACTTATGTATTAAATAAAATATATTTATTATCTGCATTGCTGAGATTTATTCAAATATGGACGTAGAGTAAAAAAATATTCAGTGTAACTTATAAAAAGTTCATTATCAAAATATGTTAAGCAACTAAACTTATTGATTATTTATTGCTTATAAATTATTAATTTCTTGCCTATAAAGCGACTAGTCATTTTACTCTATCAGTTGTTATGTTAGATATATAAAAATATTGTTACAATTAGGCCCAAAAAATATGTTCTGTATAAGTTTATAAAAATTTAGTTTTTTTAGCAACTTACTTCTAAATACCATCTTATATAAATAAGTTACAATATAAAATAAGTAATCAAACACTTTAGAAGCTCCGTTCAATCTTTGTACAGATTGATATGTCTTATATTACATTAAACCGCGTTTCCACTGGCAATACCTAAACATACTATTCTCTTTCATTTCCTTTAAAAAAATACGAGATAACTGTTTTTTACATGTACATGAAAGTATAAACGAGTAACGCGTTCTGACAATATATAGATGTGCGGAAAACATTGTTTGGCTATATTTTACCCTGAATATATTAGATAAAAACTAAATCTTGTTTTATTAACATTTACTTGAACATTAATTACCATAACCTGACTATAAGAATAAAAACCCTCACACTGATATTCAAAAACAGTAAACCAATTGCTTTCCATTCATTAGAAAATTGTGTAACAAAAAAACTAAATGAAGCAATCCAAGTTCAGAATTTTTAAATTCTTGGAGAGACTAAAACTATAATATTCAATTCTGTGTAATCTTTGAGTAGCTTATAACTTCATTTCTTCTGTCAAATGTGACATTAAATATAATTTATAAATGAATAATTTTCATGATGGCAACACTAACGTCTAATTGTCATAAGCCGATTATGGCAACACATCTATTGATATCAAAACTAAAATGAGCATATTCTTAAATACTACATGTATTTTTATTATGTACTTCTTTATGTACTTCCAAATATATAATTAATATCGACTTAAAACTATGTCACACAAAATATTTCTTTTTTTCTTTATATCACACCCAAATATTCCTTTCATAGCATTTTAGATTTTGCCTTAATAAATACTGTTATATCTAGTTATATCTAAATCACATCCTAAAATTATTGCTGAAAACTAGTGCTAGTACAAACATTTTTTTTTTACAAGCTATTAACTTAAGCTCTATGTTCAGTCAACAACTTTTATTATGATAGTAATAAACAAAAAAAATCAACTAAATATAAGGACATCCATAAATTACGTCACACGAATTTCTTGAATTTTTGACCCCTTAATGTCATTCACATTTTTAATATCATATTTAAAAATTTATAAAAAATCAGGAGTTTTCTCAAAACATTTTGATTGTTATTTTTTTTAATATGTCTGAAATTTAGTATTGTGATACTTTGATTAAATAATAGTTTTCTTGCAGAGACTCCATGCACATGCAATAAAAAAACAAAAGTAACTAGCAACTGTGTATTCTTTCAAACTATACTCTACATTTATGGAAGTCATCAAGATCAGTCGAGCAATTGATGCTACAAACATCCATCTAAGCTATCGCATTTAGTAAAGTAGCATTTTGATTGTTTTGAAAAATGTGACGTCACAAAATTTGGGACCCCTCTCTCTCCTTGACAATGTCACATTTTGTCAACCCCCTTGCTTTGTTAATGTGTGACGTAATTTGAGATGTCCTATTTCTTTATATTATAAGAAAGTGTTAAAATATGTGTTCAGCTATTCATAAGATGTGTATTTAAAAATAAACAATTGCAAGTATTAACTTAAATTTTTGTTGTTGAATTTATTTTTGAATAAATTCGGATGTATTACAGCTTATTCAACTAAACGCGACTTCCAGCTGAGATCATTACAATGTAAACTACAATTATTATTGTTTAATATAATAAAGCTATTATTAAAATGTAATAGTATTACACTGGATGTTACTGACCAAAATTAATAATGCCCCGTTACAATATAACGTACATTATGCCTTAATTCATATTTAATAATTACAGAATTGACGTGAAATTTAAAAAAAAATCTTTAATATTCTGTTAAAATAGTAAATTATTAAAAACTTATTGATTTTTTAAGTAATTGATTATTGTTCATAACCTTAAATTATTTTAGTCCGCTGACAAAAAACTTTTTTAATTTACTTTATTCTTAATATTAATGTATCACTCTTATATGAATTTTTATAATATATTAGACTGTAGATTTGATTTCGTATCAAAAATATTTCAATTTTTCTTATATAATATCATAGAAATGATTACCAAAAAGTATAAACCTCGCTCCTCCCATTTGACTGTAATTTTCACTGCAAATTGTTTCATCAATATAAAAATTGACTTTATTTCGATGGCTCCAATGTAAACTATCGTAAGTTACAATTTTGGGGTTTCCACATTCTTTATTTTTTTAATTAACTCTATAGATATAGTTATATAAAAACTATGCTTGATTCAAAATTTTAATTTTTAAACTATGCATACGAAATTGCCAAATCAAGTATATCTCATAACACTCAAACTCTGATTACTGTATAAATTAAAAGAATCATTGATTTTTGCTCTCTCTCTCTCTCTCTCTCTCTCTTTCATTGGTTGATGCATCGTAATTCATTGTATCAAATGTTTTTTTTTTGCATACATTTGCAACACTTACAATACTTTCCATACGAGCCATCGAATCTTAATAACTAATATGCCTGTAGAAATTATTATTACTTAATTCTTTTCACTGGCAACACTACCGTTTGAATCAGTCATACCAACTTGTCCCAATAACTGGGTAACACTGGGTTCATTCAATGTGAGTACAGCGTGAGCTTCAACCATCACAACTAAAGAGTTTCTGGCCTCTTCGTGGGGAACTCCGTGAGTTTTTGTAGCATGAGAATACCAAGCGCCAGTGGATGGCAATACTGAAACGCACCACTTGCAAGATAACCTAAAATTAAAAATTTTAATGTGAATAGAATAAAGGTAACAAAACGGATGCAAATAAGGAATTTCCTGTACATAAAACAGGATTTCTTATGAACATTATATGTAAAAACCACAAGTTTATAGTTATATATAGGATTTTTCCTGTCCAAAAATGTCATAACCTTCGTAATATTATTAAAATATTAAACTAGTAACTTTTGCACATTAAAATAAGATTTAAAATCCGATTGAAGTACCTCTAAGCTTGGGCTTTTTTTTTCTCGGTTATACTTGAGAGTTTTATTAGGAAAATATATCTACATCTTACAAAGCTTATTCAAAACATGAAATGAACGCATTTAACTGTAAAATATTGCTTGTTAATAAACTAGAAAGATTTCTTTAGGTCAAAAACCTTACCTATTAGTGACATGTCTAGATTTTACATGTCTCCTCCTATACCCCCAACTGTTGTAAACCCGCGGACAAAACGGACAAGGAAATGACGGGTTGGCATAACATGTTTTATCTGAAATTTAAAGAATAAGGTAATTATATAGTAATATGGTTTAAATCTATTCAAACAAATAACAGGAAATTTGTATTTCAAATGTAATTTAACAAAGTTTCCCGTTATATCTATGTAATAATTATTTTGAACAATAACAAAATATAAATAAATTTTCCAATAAAATGTTTTTATTTTAAGTTTTTTTTTTTATTTCACTGAGAATCAGGGAGTTTTATAATTTTTTTTAATTACAATAATGTGCTAATAATAAAGATTTTTTTGTTTGTATTAAAATAGTTCAAAAACTACTAGACCAATTTCTAAAATTTTTACATTATTAAAAAGCTACATTATCTGTGAATAACACAGACTATGTTTATATTTATTTTTAATTCCATGTGGATGAAGTCACCAGCAACATCTATTAATGGTACTAATACTATTTTTATTTTTTATGTATTGAAATAACTCGAAAACTACTAGTCTAATTCCTAAAATTCTTACAAAATTAAAAAGCTTTGTAACTGAGTAACATAGGCTACTTTGTTTAATATTTTTTAACTAGCTTTCGCCCGCGACTCAGTCCGCGTGGAATTAAAAAAAAACAAAACCAAGTAGCCTATGTGTTCTTCCAGACTACCCTCTACATCCATACCAAATTTCATCGAAATCCGTTCAGCCGTTTAAGCTAGAAATTCTAACAAACATCCATCAAGAAACATATTAGTATGATAACGCGAGCGAAGTCACATGCAACAGTTAGTTTAAATTAAATCATACCTTTGATATTTTGAACTTCACTGGACACAGAATTCAGGCTATCACTTGTTATACTCAAGCTCTCAACAATCGTCCCACTTTGCAATACATTTTCAACTTCTTTATCAATCTCCAAGCTATCTTTATCTTCATCAATATCAATTCCATTTGTTTTCTCTACATTTAAACAAGGCTGTGTACTACTGACTTCGCTAACCCATTTCTTTACACTACCATCTTTCTGCACCATTGAGCAAACAGTTTTACCCGAACCTTCAGGGCTTACTGAATACTTCTTTTCAACATCTTCTAGTAATGCAATATCTGTGTCATTAGTGTTCTCTCCGGAGTAATCGGTTAATGGTGAATCAATTGGTTCCACTTTGGGGACAATAGCCTGTAAAATATTAGTATAATATCAATATAAGTAAATGGCCACTTTGTATAAGTGATTATGAATATAACTGCATATAAATTATGCTATGATTTACTGACATTAATTTGATTTTAACGTTGCAAACCTGCCTGGTTTTTGTCTTAAATAAATCTTACTTATGTTATAAATTTAAAAGTTTAGATGGACAGATGTTTGTAGAGTTTGCAGCCTAAATGGCTAGATGGATCTTGATGAAATTTGACATAGATGTCATGCATAGTCTAAAAGAATGGATAGGTTACTAATTTTTTTTTTAATTCCATGTGGATGAAGTTGTGGCTGAAAGCTAGTGATATTATAAAGGGGAAAGAGTTTTTGTATGTATTTAACTCAAAGTGTACTGGGTTGAATTCAAAATTTATTTTAATATGACAGAGAAGCATTATCATTAACATAGGCTAGTATTTACACAAATCATACTAACAGTATTCTTTAGTGAGTCAGTATCGATGACATTTTTAGCAATATCCAATTTATTCTGTGCAGCGTGAGCCTTCTTAGGTTTATTATTATTATCTTCAACTTCACTCTTTTTACGTTTCTTTGAATTAGTAGAGGCAGAAATTTTCTGAAACAAAGTGTTAAAATAGTTTTGTTATGAATTGAGTGCTTTTTTATGAACAATCATAACCATTTGTTTTTAGACCAATTTTGATAAAGAAATATTTATACTAACGTCATCTTCACGCGACTCACTGCCAGTCGATAAACCACATATTCTTAGGGTTTCTGCAGTCTTCAGAAGAACAGGTAGAAAATCCTCGGTTACATTAACCTCACCGTTATACATGAAAGTCAAGAGAGTTTGCAAAGAAGCGGTATTGATGTCATGAAGGACTATAATTGGATCCTTGTGGGGGTTTTGCTGGAATGACAAAAAATGAGTGGGCGTTAACGAGAATTCGAGAGAAGCATTGAATACCTCAATACATAAATATCCAACCTGAAATATTGTCTTGAAAACTGAACTATTCGCAGAAAGAATTACTTTATGTGCTTTGAAACTATGCCCTTCTGAAACTAAGGTGACATCTGATAAACCTTCGTCTTTATAAAGTTCTTTCACATTCAACAATATGTTACTTTGATATCCATTCCACTTTAAGCTTATCTCTTGGTTTGCCATTTCTTAATTTGTGAGGACATGCAGTTTGCTTATTTTTAAGAACACCAACAAAAACAAACAAAACAAAATGCTTGCAATAGCTTAATTTTAATGAAGGAAAACAATAGGAACATTGCCAGCTAAAATATTTTGGTTCCCACAGATTAAATTATTGCTTGTCAGTGTTGTTACTATCAAAAAAGTCTACATCATTTGTTGTCCGTTTTTTTTTTTTGTTTTTGTCCGTTGTTTGAATAAATTCGCTAACTTTTTTCTTCTGGGTTATTACGTAAATCCTTAATAACAAAAAGAAAACCAAAATTCATCATCACCATTCATCTTTCACTAGATGGTGTTAATATCAATCGCAAATAAAAAAAAGTTTGAATTCATGTCGAGGGGGGTCTTTATAAAAATAATCTGCTCCCACGATGCAACGGGGTGATTGGCGCATTGCATTTTGCTTGTACGCTACTCAGAGGAGCATGCACATTCCACTTAGTAATGGAATCTCGCCATGTTGCCGACTTCCCGGGATGGATCTGCATGACGTCAGTGTTCCCAAACGAACCTAAGTTCTCAAGGGTCAATCTCAATCTGCTAATAACTCCTTTGCTGCCATGTTATCCACTTTCCACTAAATCTAGTTAAGGGTAATTACCCTACCTAAGATAAAAACCCATTCAACATTTAGAATTTATTCGCTTTTAGAATTTTATTACGTTCACCTCCTTTGATAAACATTTTTTGTAATTTGATTCAATAAATGTGTTTAATTTATGATATATCTGTGTACATGAATTTAATTTAAACACTTCCTTACCGGTTTGAGGTATTATTTACTTATAATACAGCTTATCAAGCATGTGGTTTTATGACGATTTCAAAATTAACAAATACATTATGTATTAATATTCATTTGGTACTCATAATAAATATAGTTTGTAAATATGTTTGTAGGCATATCTCTTTTGACATTATATTAAAAGTTTACTGTAACCTGAAATGATATACATTTCAATTTGAATACAAGCGTATGCAGCTTAAACGGCTGAACGGATGTCTATGAAATCTGGCATAGATGTGGAGGATAGTCTGGAAGAACACATAGGCTACTTACTTTCATTATTTTTTAATTCCACACGGACGGAGTCACAGTCGAAAGGCATTTAATATTAATAACAAAACGGACAAATCCAAGCCGTTTTATAAGTATGTGCAATCGTTGTGAATCACGTTATGTAGTTTTAACAGGGCAATTGGTCAGTTAGTATTGGCCTGTAATATTTAGTAATTATGTCAAACAATTACAAGCATTTCTTTAGGATTATTTTATTCTCAATTTTGCTATGTAGTTTCATTTCATCTCAATCAAATTGTCCTAATTTAATTACGTGTGGTGCTTGTATAGGTTATGCGTACGATTCATGTGTTTGGTGTTCATCTGTAAGTATTAACTGGTTTTCCAGATTTAAATAGATGATCAAATTTACTTTTAAGGAATAAATTACTGCACAAATAGGAAATTATTGGGACAGTAAAAGGTACGGTTTAAAAGTTTACATGTGGCAGAAATCTGAATGTGTGAATATAAGTGATAGATGGATTGCGGGAAAGGTGACATGATCAAGAAGGTAGTGATGACTGAGATGACGGAAGATAAATAGGGACAAAATCCTGACGCGCTAATCCTAAGTGGAGTAAGCACAGGATTATGACGAGAGGATATTGCTTTGACTGTGTTTCGAGGAAAATATATTGTTTTATATGTACCTGTTAATGTTCAGACTAACTTACATAATTTTAATTAAAACCAAGTTATGTAAAAGAGGTCGAAATTCGTAATAAATTTGATGATGAATGTGGAGAGGTAAAGAATCTTCTGCCAACTAGTGTGGGTTAATGTGTGTTTTGTTTTTAAAGAATTAATGATATGATATTAACACAAATCATTGAAAACATTTACATTCAACGATACCCATCTCGATTGTTTCTTTTTTTTACTTTTTAGGAAATCCATACTGGACCACGATGTAATTCGAAAGATGTAGTAGAAGCTTCATGGTGTTCACAAAATGTATCTGAATCAATTTTGAAACACAAAATCGAACAAAACGATGATTTAAATTCTGGTGAAAATGGTACCAAAGTCCAATTTACACCACAATTAATGACTGTCAAGGTCCGTCCAGGTTTACCTATCAACTTCAAGATGGCGTACAGACCTGCTAAAGACTACCCATTAGATGTTTACTACGTTATGGATTATTCTTACACAATGAGAGTATACAAAGATCTTCTTCAAAAACAAGGCCTTGAGATTTACAGAGAGCTGACTCTGTTAACGAATAATGTTCGATTGGGTATTGGAACTTTTGTTGATAAGCCTGCATATCCTTTTGTTAGGTGAGTTAAACACTTAAATTGCGTTTTTACATAAATTTATTAGATAGCAACATTAGTACAATATGATATGCTTACCAATCTAACAATTAGATTTGCGAAACAGTGGTACATTTTTTCTGTAACCTATTATTCCATAATAGTGTATCTATTAGTTGATAGAATATAATTATTTCCAGATCAGACAGCGTATCATACTCCTTTAAAAATCGTTTATCTTTAACGCAGAACATGACTCAATTCCAAGATGTTCTCATAGACAATTTGTTCGGATCAAACAACGACGACCCGGAAGGTGGTTTCGACGCTCTAATGCAGGCCATGCTCTGCCAGAATGAAATAGGATGGAGGAAAACTGCAAGGCGAATTATAATCTTATCGACTGATGCTACTTACCACAGCGCTGGCGATGGTAAATTCGTTGGTGCAGTCAAACCTAACGACATGAAATGTCACCTCGAAGACAATAATTATAACATGGACCTAGATCTTGATTACCCTTCTGTAAGTCAGATAAATAAAATCGCTACCGAACACAACTTTAAAATAATATTCGCAGCAGTTTCATCTGTTAAAGATCATTACGAAGGTCTAGTGAAGAAAATAAGAGGTGCGAAATATGTAGAACTAAGTGAGGGCTCAAATTTGGTGACTATGGTCAAAGAGGAATATCTAGTAAGTTTAAAATCTTTATCTTGCTAACTGAGATTAAAGTCATTTCTCCTACGTAATTATTTCATTTTGTTATTCTAGAAATTAATAAGAAGCATGCAAATAAACGCTGAATTGCCATCACATGTTGGACTTGAATTAAGTCCGGATTGCCGAAAAGACGGGAACTGCATAATTAAACACAATGAATCTATAACAATTAATGCAACTTTAACAGTCAAAGCTTGTCCCAGTTCTGAAGAAGCTAGCGAAGTTCTCGTGGGTCCTGTAGCTTTAAACGAGAAACTAAAAATCATAGTAGTGAGTGATTGTGTATGCGATTGCGAACGTGAAAATACATACACGAATGCTTCTCAATGTAGAGGAAATGGAAAATACCAATGCGGTATTTGTACATGTAACAAAAATACGTAAGTAACGAATATGTTGAATATAAAACTGTTTCGTATGATTTAAAATACTACCTTCCCATAGTGATATCTACATATATGTACGTCAGTTCTTAAAAGCTCCACTGTTAATAAACTCATTACTTGAAACGTGTTCCACGTTTTTTATGAGAGAAAAAGAGGGTGCAAAAGAAGAGCGGAACGCCATGTTGGTCATCGACAACCAAATATATCCAATGCCAGAAGAACTGCAGATGCGATACTGGCCTTTGAGAAGTTGATAAGCTTGATTTTCTATATTCTTTCAGTTATGGTGACGATTGTGGCTGCGAAGGCATTTCAAGTGTTGATTTAGATAAATGTAAATTAACAGCAACAGCAACAGACTATTGCAGTGGAAGGGGTACATGCAGGTAAAATATATTCTGAACAATATAAGGCAACCTAAATGAAAATCAATTTACTTTAATGTTACATACGAGTATTTAGTCAGTAAACTCTTCTTATATTTTAATGTAAATATACAAATTTCAGCTGTGGTAAATGTATACATTGTAAGAAGGGATTTTCTGGTGACTTCTGCCAATACGACGACACCGCCTGTCCAAGTCCCGGCGGCAAGCTGTGCGCTGGCAGCGGGTTGTGTCGGTACGGGAAATGTGAATGTGCCCCCGGCAGGACTGGTCCCGGCTGCGATTGCCCGCTTAGCATTGATACATGTTTTGCACCACACTCCAAAGAGGTAAACTAACATACAGTTTGTAGATAGCATTCCAATATTATGGAAAATCCTACTTCTCTTTATTAAGAGCGGGTTTTGAAAGGTTTGAGCTTTGACTAAACTATTGCACAGCGCTGTGCGATTGTCGATTATTTCACAGCCAATTCAACTGTTTAGTTGCACAATTAAAAATCGAATAGTGTGCGCATCTAAAAATAAGCTCCTTAAAAACAAAGTGCGACGAAACAGTTGTGTATTAGTTTAGTGAAAGGTGTGCGCGTTCTAAATGTGACAAATCTGTCCACAGCGTTTCCAAACGACATGTTGAATTTAAACTTGATTTTATTTTATAGGTATGTTCAGGAACTGGGAACTGCATTTGCGGTGAATGCCACTGTTTGCCAATGATATCAACAAATCGAACGTGTTCAGGAAGTTTTTGCGACAACTGTGACGAATTCTCCGAGAAAAGATGCTTAGAACTCGAAAACTATGCGGAATGTAATTACTTCAACAACAAAACATACTGCGACCAGTTGCACAACCAGACTTCTTTAACTGAAGTAAAGATTGTTGATAAATTGGACAGTACACCTGCGGAAGAGGGATTGGCTAAATGGTGCAAGAAGGAGTTAGGAAACGGAACGCTGCTTTTCAAATATCTGTATCCAATTACTTCACCGAACACGCTACATGTAATTATTGCAAAAGAATTGGAGCAGCCACCTGAAGTTAATTTATTTAGTAAGTGGCTCATATCTATACTAATATTATAAATCGAAAGAGGAAAGATTTGTATTTTTTATGTATTTAAGTAACTAAGACCACAGGCGTCAGCTGAAATTCCAAGAATAAGATCTGTGTTTTCTTTTACAGTTGCTGTAGGCGTTCCGTTTGGCGTTCTCATTCTGTTAGGTCTCCTGACAATAGTAATATGGAAAATTTTAGTAGACCGACTCGACGCTAGGGAGTATAAAAATTTCGCAGAGAAGGCTACTTCAGCTGGCTTCACAGTACCCGGTATTGTTAATCCAGTGTATCGCCCTCCAGTCAGTAACATTAACAACCCAACGTTTGATAGAAATTTATGATTTTTTACATACCACTAAACAAGCAAGAAGCTTCTTAAATACGCCGGATTAGCGAAGCAACCGCTACCCATAGACATCGACAATTGGAGGTCCTTTACTATCCTTATACGACGGAGGGGGAACGCAAAAAGGATAATTCCTTGCCAGGCCATCGATGTTTCGTCGACATAGTTTAAATTATTTATTACTAGCTTTCGCGCGCGACTTCGCCGCGCGGAATAAAAAAAGACAAACGCAAGTAGCCTATTTGTGTTTCTAGAGTATTCTCTACATCTATGCCAAATTTCATAGAGATCCCTTCAGATGTTTAGGCTACAAACTCTAACAAACATCTATCCATCCATCCATCCATCTAAACTTTCGCATTTATAATATTAGTAAGAAGTAAGATAACACGCGTATTATTAACAAAGGGATCTAAATTTATATAATTTAATTTTATTACCAAATAAATGAAAATATCAAAACTTTCTATGGTTTTATTTTTAACGAAATATAATTTCTTTAAATTCACAATCACTAAATTAAATACAATAAATATAAATTAATATAAAAGACGAACAAAACATACGAAAGACGTAATAAAAATTTCATATTCAGAAACATTATATGGATATCATCCAAGGACTTACAAATTTTTTCACATATTCGTTTCACTATAATTTCTTTTTTATAATGAAAAGCCAACCTTTCAGTTTATTCGATTTTAAGAGTTTTATCAATTTTATTACAGGATTCGTTATTTTTTGTGCGTTCTCGGGTTCGTTCGATCTGTCGTACGTCGTAAACGCGTTGGTTTTTCATCACAATATATTCTCTTTTCCCGACGTTCCTCGCCTTTGCCCGCGACCGTCTGCTGAACAAATTTACAACATAAATTCTAAGACACCAAAGATTATTTTAATGTCTCAATATTATGGATAAAGTAGTAACAAGATTATCAAGAAGATAAAAGATAATTAGATGTCGCAAGATAATCATTGACCTCTTTAAATGAATTGCTTAATGTTACAAATTATGCTTACTTCATAATAAAACTTCATATTATCATTTTTAAAGTATCATCTTTACATACCCTTTGTGATTCCCGATTTACAGTCCGCTGTCTTAGCTCTGAACATGGCAATCCGGGCGCGATGTCACCGGCCGGAAGTCTTTCTTCAATATTTACGTTGTAAGAATTGGCTTGCGAACGTCTGAAAAATATACAGAAAGATTGTAAAGTGAAAAAAAACTAGTATAAAACAATTAATCGTAATAATAATGTACATACGTAGCGTTGGTTTCATAAGACAACATACTGGGGTCTTGACTTTTATTCGGTTGTGGACTGCCTGGAAACTCAAACGCGTCCCGGCACACTGCTTCACGGACTTCCTGCAAACGCCGCCTCTCCTCTGCCACTTTGCGATCTATCTCAGCGACTACGGACAATACACTAGCAATATATTCGATAAAATTGTCTTCTATTTTATTATAATGAAACAGTCACTCCTGTTTATAGATTCAAGTTAATTTTGTGGTATATACCACGTTTGGCACGGTATAACGCTATACCAAAACTTAGGTTCAAAGCACACTTACTGTGTTTATTCCTTTGTCGTTGTTTGTTAAGGACTTCATTTTCTAAACAGTCTATTCTCTTACTGAGAACTTCCTCTTTACGAAGTATTGTTTTCCACGTTCTACATATTTTAAAATGCAGATAAGAGAGCTCTTGAGCATCCAATGACTGTAATAAAAGAAGAATATATTGTTAGTAATGTTTTATCTTTTTGACCGACTTCCCAAAGGAGAAGGTTCTCAATTCGTCTGTATGTTTTTTATGTGTGTTATACTATAAGGAGTTTATTTGTCTCTTACCTCAATATTTTCCTTCAATATTTTGTTTGCTATGTATTTCAAATATGCTTGTTCTGCAATCCTTCGTTGTTCAACATCAACTTGCTCAAATATATTGCGTATCGTATCAGAAATGTTTATATCAAGGGAACAAGTACAAGGCCCGTGTATCTTCATTTTTGGATTATAGTTAAATTCTTCAACATCAGTTTTTGTTAATGTCTTTATTTCATAATTCGAGCTCTTTTTGGAATATTGTTTGTTCATGTCACCGAAAGAAGCGTTTGCAATGTCCTAAGGTATTTAAATAGATTTTATTCTAATAAGTTTGATTCAAATTAAAACTTAAAAATGTATCTTACCTTATTTACATTTGAAGGGTTAGACAAAATAATTTTAGCTCTTAAAATCTTGTTCTCTTTTTCCAGTTTATCAACTTTTCGCATTGCATCAATGCTCATACTTCTTAAATTATCAGTTTCATTTTCGTGTACTTTTAAAATGTCCTGTAAGGTTTCCTCATGAAGGTTTTGTAAATTTTGGACTCCCTGGTTATGTTCATTCATAATATTTTTAATGTTATTGTCATATTGTGCTTTGATTGCTCGGATCTTTTCTTTGTAATTCCTGTCTATGTTTTCTAAAGTACTTGTAAGAAATTTGATTTTTTCTTGCTGGTTGTCGAATTGAACCATGACAGCGACATCTTTAGTCTTTAAGTGGTCAGCGACATTAGTGACATTTTTACTAGATTTAATATTCAATTCTTTTGGTATACTAGTCAATAACTTTGTATGTTTCGACACTACAGGGTCATTTGTAAAAGGCTTCCTAAGTTGTTCATTGCTATAGGTCCTTCTTAGAAATTCTCTGAATATTTCAGTATTTGTAGGTTCAAGACTATCTTTATTGTTGTCCACTTGGTTTCCGATTTCATTTACTGCGTTCTTTGTATAATCAAGACTTTTCTCAAAGGCGTTATTCCTTTTTCTTATGTCTAATTGCGAGGTTGTATCGACAGAATCATTTGTTATATTGTTTCCGATATACAAATTACTATCGCGTTCTAAAACATTCCGTTGATACAAGTACAAGTCGATCTTAGTTTTGGGAACATTGTCAAATGTTATTTCTTCTTCAAGATTTTCTTTCACTTCTAAAGGTTCATAATTTCCCCTAAATGACTTCAAAGAAGTAAATGAACGTGAAATCCGACTATCAGTAGCTTTTCTACCATTTATTCCATTTTTATGCTCTTCTTTGCTAACCTTCTTAACGATACCAAGATTTTTTACAAAAGTCGTTTCGCTTAAGGAAACGTGCGAGTAAACAGGATTAGACGCTAACAAATTACTTTTGCCTTCATCACTTAAAAGTGGAGTTATATTCTCGGTTTTATACAAATTCTGTTTGAAAGGTTTTGTGTCCGATATTTTTTTTGCAGAATAATAATTATTTTGTGGTAATAGTATTTCTCTGCTCACTGCCTTATACAGTGATTCATTTAATCTCATTTTTTCTTTAGGAATTCCTGTATTGATTTTACTTTCGTCCTCACAATCCGAGTCTCGATAGATTATAATAAAATCCTTATTACTAACAATATTTGATTGAGTTAAAGACAGATTAATTTCATTACTTCCACTAGTATTAGCATAGATATCATTAATACTAGTTTCGTTCACCATGGCAACATTTGGAGTATCAAAATCAATTTTATCTCTTTCCTTCTTATCGTCAATTGTATATGTTAAGACCTTTGGAGGAATTTCTGATTTTGAAGCATTATTATCCGGACTCGTTTCATTAACATGACCTGAATGCTTACTCACAGACTCTATAGTATCTTCGTTACTAATGCAGGAAACTGAATATTGTTCCATTGCTGTAAAACTTAGTTTCTTAATTTTATAGTGTACATACGCATTTTTCACAAATCCTAAAGACGGTTCTACGTTTGCTGTTAAAATTTGAACTTCGTTAACTTCAGCTTGTACGTTAGTTAACAACTGACTTTCTTTTTTATCTGATCTTGGTACAACGCAATCATCCGATAGCTTATTAAGCACTCTTCCTTCTTCGTACCCACCAATAATTTTATTATTTATATTACTCTCATGTAAATAATTACTATCAATTTCATTGAAGTCTATTTTTTCAGTTTGTGTTGTTGTGCTCGTTAAGTTATATTTTAATTGGGTTTGTACAGCAAAATCGATTACCTTCTTATTTTTTAAAGATTCTAATATGGATCTAAGAGATTTTATGTCTTGACATTTTTCTTCGAGCTCCAATTTAACTTTCTTAATAATATCTTGATTCTCCTTCTTATCCTTAATTGCATTTTCTAGTCGGACTTCTAACTCATTTATTTTATCTAATGCTGTTGTATACATGTCTTGCATAGAACAAATTTCATCTTCTAATTTCAAAATGTAAATTCGAACTGAATGTTTAAGCTTATCAATCAAAAGCTTTTGATTAAGTAGTTCAGCTTCTAAGTCATTTATAACACTTTTGTCTTTAGATAATTGATATTCTAAAGTTTTCTTAAGAACGCTTAATTCTTGTTGTGCATCTAGCTTCTCTTTTATTGCTTGTTCTTTTTCTTTGAATATTTTTTGCTTTTCCTTTTCAACAATTTTTTTGGCCTCATCAGCTTTTGTTAACACTAAATGACATGAATTATTTCTCGTTTCAATGTAATTATCAATTCGTTCTAACGAAGTCATTATACTTTTAAGGCCACAATTATCTGGCGACAAGGCGCTGTCTCCAACACATTTAATTTCCAGTTGCTTTATATCCGTAGCAATAATTTCCCTTTCGCCATTTAACCGACTTTCATTTTCTTTAGCCGATGTTTCAACTTCAACCTTAGTCGTTGAGAGTTTTTCTTCTAATTGTAGATTATGATCCTTCAATTTTGCCAATTCAATTCTCATATTATGTGTTGTTTTCGCATCTAAAAGACATCATTCAACCATGTTACACAAAAATATAAAAATACCAAATAATTCTGAAGATAGAAAAATCAAATATAAAAATAATTAAGTCTTACGGTGTGCTTCCATTAACTTCAGTGATTTATCTACTTCGTGGTTTCTGATACCTCTATTCTCGCCTATGTCCAACATGGTAGCTAGGCTTGTCTGCAATCTTTCGACTTCATCTCCTAATTCATTGACTTGGTTTTCTAAAATCGCTATCTTATCATCTCGATCAGTAATTTCTTTACCAAGGTTAGCGATGGTTTGATCCTAAATTAAATAAAACATATAATTAACGACCTGTTTTCTATACCACGTATAACGTATGTTCGTTTCTATTATTGACGCAAAATATATTTTATGTAGCATTAGTTGATAAAAAAGAATATTCTTGACTGATTCCATGTCTACTACAGCTAACTGGTTTGCTGTATTCGTTTTCTAGCTTTTATGAAGATCATAGTAGACTTCTTGTATAATAATTACCGATTCTTTCAATTCGTTTAAGAGATGTTGGATTCGGTTTAAATTACAATAGTTTTCTTCTTTAATCTTCTCCACTTCATTTTTTATATCTACTACCTGTATAGAGTTAGACGATTTTACATGTAGCTGAAGCTGAAAAAGTAATGCAAAAAAACTTATTTTACACATTTCGCTAATGAATTTTAAAAAATTGGGTTAAGGAAAAATGCAGGATAAGCAGATGAGATGGCAATACTTCACAAGCTAAAATGCGATGCAGCAGTAACCCTTTAAATAGGGATATTTTTACAGAATATATTAGAACTTGTTAAGAATGGACTGTAGGTTTCTAATGAAATGGACAAAATGCGACCAGCAATAATAAAAGTATTATTAAGATGAGCGTGTGCATTTGAAAATAGAATGTATAAGTATTTAAGAGAAAAATTAAATCATCGCCAGTCAAACCGTACCTCTTTTCTTGCGCTTATTAAAGTATCTTCTATGTTCTCATTATACGCCATTAGGTTCTTAGTTGCTTCTTGCAATTCTTGGTTTCTTATTTCTAAACTTTGCAAGAGTATCGATTTCGATTGTAATTCGAGCTCAAGATTTTCGTTTTCTTTTTTAATTTCATCATAAGCAGTTTTTAACTCGTCATGATCCTTTTCTAAAGCTACTTTGGAGTTAATTTCACTTGTGAGATTATTATTTTCCTCTATTACCGCGTTCAGAGAACTCTTTATATTCAAGTTTTCTATCTGTAGAGAATCTACATTATTTTGTAGTATTTGTTGTTGTTCTTGTAATGCTTGAATTTGTATAACCAAGTTATTGTTTTTATCATTTGTTTTGTTTATAACGCTTCGTAAATTATCGAGTTCATGTTTTTGTTTAGTTATTTGAGTTTCAATATTATCCTTTTCGAGAAGTAAATTATCATATTCCCTACACAAGTTAAAATAGTTTTGTTCTAAAGTTTTAACTCTCTCCGTAAGTGAAATAAAAAGTTTCTTTTCTATTTTAATTTTATCTAAAGTATTTAAATGGCTCTGAATTTCATGATTTTTGAGTAACAAATCATTTTTTAAATTATTATTTTCATCGAACATTACATCGTTTCGATGTTTAATCATTGCCAGCTCTTCTTTCATATTTTTATTTTCTTCCAAAACAGTAGCAAAATATTCTTTTTGCTCTTTAAGTACTTGAATCTGAATATTTGCTTTGTCTAATTCAATTGTTGTTTCTTGCAACTCGTTTAACAAACTGCCTTTTTCTTCTTCAAGTTTTTCATACATATTTTGTGAAACCTTTAAAGTTTCTTTTAGGTCATTTATTTCTTGAACCTTACATTCCAATACTTCATTGTCTTTTTCTTCTAAATATTTTATACTTTCATGACTTTGACTTATTAAACTTTTGATACCTTCCGTGTTCAGTGCTACAAATTTATCAATTTCATTTACTAAGACTTCACTTCCAGTACTTTGATTATCCAACGTTCTAATTTCCATTACGTCTGATTTTTTTACGCTAATCTGTAAGTTATTGTCAGTTTTCTCACTACTTACTGATAATTTCCCATAATTACTAAGAGCGTCTAATAGTAATTTACTTTCTTTACTGGCCACATTTAAAGAATTCAATGCTTCTTTTTTTTCACTTTCTAATTCTCGAATTTTGTCATTGAAAAGCTGATTCATTTCCTGCAACTGGTTAACAAGGTTGCTATTTTCCTGTTTGATGGTTTCTGCTTCCATTATTACACTTTTCGTCTCCAAACACTTGTTAACTAATTCATCGTTTAAATGTTTCTTTTCATTAAGTAGTTCTTGATTTTCATTTGTTAATTTTTTTACACATTCTTGTAATTCATCTATTAATTCCTCTAACTTTTCATTGCGTTTAATCATCTTTTCATTTCTCTCTAAAAAATCACAATTTACTAAGATTCAATAATACAACATAAATTCAAACGGAACGCGTTCATGTTTTAAGCTGATTTGTATTATATTGGACAATTTGAATATTAAGAACTAACATAGTAACTAACTGAATATGAATAACTATGTATTTTGTCTTAAAGTTCGAATACTTAAGTTCCACGAAGAATTGCGATAGCGATTGATATACACACTATAGTTAATAATATGCTTATTAGCCGAACATTAAAACGAATTTTTACACTTTCGGTTTTTAAGCAAAGTGTCAATAGAATTTGTTGTTGAATCGTGGCCTTATTCTTTAGATCGTTGTTAGATATCAAAATATCGTTTCACTATTCGGCAATTAGTATTTACATTTATTTACTCTCGTCAATTCTACCAACCGTTCCAATTCTCAATTTTAAGATTATCATTCATAAGTTTTTCGTGGAATTCATTTTTAATTCTATTGTTTTCTTCTTCTTTGTAAAAAAGAGTATCTTTAAGATTTTTAACTTCTTGTCGAAGTGAATTTATTTGCTCTATAAAGTCTTCTATCTCATGTTGACTTTCTCTTGCAACCTGCAAAAAATACTCATCAAGAAATAGTTTCTTATCGTTAAAATTACCAACTAATTTAATTTGCTATTAGCAACTAACATAGTCTTTATTTATCCTTAGAAACTTGTTTATCTCAACTGTTAAAGTTTCTATTTGCTGTTCTTGACACATAATCTTGCATTCACTCTCTTTTAATTTACAAACTAAGCCATGCTTCTCTTTTTCCCAATCAGTGGAAGCTTCGCTTAATTTATTTTGCAAAGATATATTTTCGCATCTGATCTGCTCCAATAAAGATGATTTTGAATCGATTATATCACTTTGAGCACATAACTGCGTTTCCAAAGTAGATGTTTCATCAGCCAGAACTATAAATTTCTCTTTGAGATTATCAAGATCTTCTGATCGTTTTTTATAATAATCTCTTTCCGAAAGTAACATGTTATAAGAATTTAATTTGGTTTTCAAATTGTCACATTCTTTTTCAAGTTCGTCATACTTTAGACATTTTTGTGTCAGACAATTTTTTTCATATTTTAATTCATCGTGACAGACGAGAAGTTCATCATAGCAAGCTTGTAAATTCTTTAACCGATGTAGATTTTGTACTTCAATACTACAGCTGTTAATAAGTACGGTTTCATTTGCTATAGACTCTTCCTCTTCAGGTGTACTACTTTTGTGTAGAATTTCTTTCATTTCATCATTCCCTATTATATCTGCTACAAGATGAGCTCTTTTACTATCGATGTTTATTTCAAAGTTATCTTGATGTGTCACTGCGAATGCGGTTTCTACACGTGAAATTATTTCAGTGTGATAACAAGAACAATCTTTTGAACAAGGTGAGATTAAGGCACAGCAGAATTTTTCCAATACTTTTAATTTATAAAAGATCTTTCCCTTTATGTCGACGTTTCGTGTATCCTTTCCCGACGTCTGTAGAAATATTTGAATAATTACTCATTCACTTACAAAAAAAAAGAAAACTTATTATTTTTTAATAATTACCAATAGATCAAGATAGTGTTTGTATTTTTCGTTTTGACATAAAGTCCCAAATATTTTTTCAAGCGCTGTGTAAATATGGGCATATATGCAATACGGTTCACAAACGTCATTTTCCATCACCTAGAAGAAAAATGTAAAAAAAAAGTTGAATTGAATCTCAATACATTTTTCTATTAAAAAATTGCATTTCATACTTTTCACATACAGATCTAAGCATGGATTGAAATAACTTTAAGTAACTTACAGCAATTGTATTTCGCATCGCATTCAATTTGGCGTCTTTTCTTATTATAGTATCTTTCATGTCTTCAATTCTTGGATCGTGAACTACTGTAATAGTTAATTATTAAAAATAGAAAAGTTATTTAAATATTAATAATAGTAATTTTTATTCACGTAAAATATACCCTTTTTTTATATGAGAAGGGGGCAAGCGAGCGGCGGGAACACAATCTATCTATCTATCTTTACTATTATAATAAAGCGTAAACACACACTTCTTTGTTGCCTAAGATGTCAGCAATTACATAATTTCTTAATAATTCTTATTTTAATAAAAAGCCCTACACTTACGTCGCGCTACAGGCTATATATTTTCACGCCATTAAACTTAGGAGGTAAATATTTTTGATAAAAACCCTGATGTGGGAAAGAAACCATAAGTTGCTGCCAACATCAAGAAAGTAAGATTGTCAAGGTTTGTCATGTCATGTCATTTTGAAAATTGCAATTAATAATTTGACAAATGTGAACAATAAAATGAATTTTTTAAAATTTCATGCGGATTAAGTCGCATGGGAACAGCTAGTTGTATATAAAAATAAGAAATTAAAGATATGTAAGAAATGTAATAATTCAATAAAACATTACCGGTGCTTGCATCACACGAACAAGCAAGAGACCCACCCTTGTCACCTTGAGTTTGTGTTTCTTTACACGGATAAAAAGATTTATCCACAGACCTCTAAAATCATATAAAACTCGTAAAATTTGATTATCAAACCAACTTATTTGTGCCTTTTTCGTAACTATATAATACATTCGTCGGAATTATCTATTAACTGTCTTAAGACTTAAGAATAAACAATATAATGTGAACACCAACCTCAGTTGCGAATGATGAGCTAGTCTGGAAACAGTAATCAAATTTAATATGTAAGCTAATACTAAAAAAGAGTTTATTGATAGTTTTAACTTTGAAAAATAATCGGTATATTTGGCATACGAAAACGACGGCTTAGCCCAGCATTTTAGTCAATTCAAAATATTTGTGCTAAAATCTTAAAATTATGTTCGATAATTAATACCTCAAATTCTTGAAATCGCATTATCTGAAAAAAAAAGAAAATGCTCATGAAGTTGTATATTCTTTAAAAGTAAAAAAATATACAATAAGCGAGCATAGACCAAAACGAAACCATAGTAAGTATTCAAGAATTACCTCATCTCCTCTAGATTTTCCCGTCTGAAAAAAGCAAAAAAAAACATTAAAAACACTTACAAAACAATAAACCTATAAAAGTCAACTTAAATATAACATACCTCAAATGTTTCAGAATCAATACCCTTGAAATAAAAATATAAGTTAATTCACGCATTTAAAGTGAAAAAATACTACATAATACATGTTCGTGCATTACCTCCGTAAATCCTGAGAGATCTAGATCCAAACACTAAAAAAAATTACAACAATTTAGCAACAAAAATAAAAAGGAGTAGTTATTAAAAAAGGATTATATTTCTTACCATGTCATCTAGTTGTTTATTAGCCGTTTTTATAGCTGCATGCTGAAAAAAAAATAGTTAATAAGAGATTATGCAAATGCGAGCAAATAATTCAAATCTGTTTACTCACAGCATTTGCTATATCGGTCTTTTGATCATTAGTAAGTTCAAGCTGATCGTATGCTGCTAGCAACTGTTCGAATTCTTCAATCTTCCGTCTCAAACGATTAATTTCTGTATTCTTCGTCACCATAAGTGTGTTCACTATGACGTCAGTTGGTAAATACTTCGGTCTGCAGGTTTCATTGTTACGTTTTATGACTTCCACCAAATGGTCACTTTTATCCGAACAAAAATGTGACCATGCCCTCGCGTCCGTGCATGACGAATACGCTTTCAGCTTTCCTTCATTCCTCGCGGGCAAATCCAAGAGTTCATACTCGTTGAACACTCGTTCTCGTTTCGATATAAATGACATGACTTAACGTAAACACAAACAGTTAGATAAATTTATGTAACCGACATATTTACTCGGAATATTTTACATTATCAAATTTTAAATCCATGAACAATATCGTAATATCAATAATTATAAACAATGTCCAAAACAATAACTATTTTGAACTGTCAGTCGCGATTGAGAGATGTCTTTAAATCGAATGACATTTTTTAAAAACATTTAAAGCTCATATTTCTGTAACTAACCAAGTATAAAATACCAAAGAATCCTGAAAGTTAAAGGAGGGAATGCTTTATCTAACTTATTATGTTCGTTTGTAATTTGTTGCTTTTCTTTTTAATTTCATATCAGCTTTTTGATGTTCATAACTAGTCATCCAGACTTTTGTACAAACAAATTCTATTCAAGAAAAATAATTCAGAACGTATCAACAAACGTCGCATCACTTCCACACAGACAATTATAATTCAGATATCAAAATTGTTTGTCATGAAGTTCGAGTGGATAAAATATCTGTAAAAATAAAATCAACCGGTTTTCTCCTTCAATGAATTATACATATCACAGAAAAACTATTTTACTGTCTCGCAACGAAGGCAAATTGAAATCCTATGACTCTTGTTTCGACTTGCGGGCGTGGAGTCATGATATGAGCGCGCGCGACCGCTACCTGAGGGAATGGATGAAGTGCAACATGCCGCCATGCCTATTGCCTTTATCCACCTTGAACAATTTATTAAAATCAATGTCCTGCAGGAACATAGGTCAAGTAAGTACAGCATTACCTTTTGTCGGTGTTCATTCTATTCCATCATTATTTTTTCTTTCTTCATCTATAACCATCTTTAGTCATTTTAAATTAGAGACTACAATAACTTATTAACAACTTAAAAAAAATAGGTAGCTCCACGTTGTCATCCTGATTGCAAATCCAAAAGAATTTTGGAAACTATATGTACGTCGTGTCAGGCTATGAAAGACTGTCTCAAAAATAGTGAAAAAATGGAACATTTCTTTGAGGAAGTACGTAAAATATATTTTTATTTTCTTTTATTATACAATTTATAAAATAATATTATACACATATTGGATTTTTTATAGGAGGAATTAGAAACGGGACATTGGCCTTGCGATAAATGTTTAAATGCATTAAAGAGTATACGAACGTTTTGGAAAGTTATTCTATGTAAGATTTTAAAAATTAATACTGTTCCCAAAGCTGAAGTGATAACTAGAGAACATCGAAGTTCCACCGATTACATTAACGGTGTTGCTAAAGCTTGGCAAAGAGATATAATGGAGCAGGCTGCTTACGTCAAAAACTTAATACCTTCATTGACGACCAGCAGCCTTACGTGGAGAGGTCACAAATGTGAGAGGCATGATGAGACTTTGTTATATCCAGATGATATTCATGCACATGAATTGGCTGAAATTAATTTAAAACATAAAAGAAGTAGAATCATCTCTAGATCTCAGGCAATAAAAGAAAAAGCAACGGACTTTGCGGCCACGAGTACTGTGAAATTATTGGACATTGGATGTGATCCTTTGCATCATGCTGACGAAAAATTAACCAATTATTTAACAACATTGCAAGACCAATTGGAAACACAAGCAAATGAAGTAGAGGAACTGAAAAGGGAGAATTATTCCCTTAAAAGTAAATTACTAGAAGTTCGTAAACTGCAATCACGGTTGTCGTTCCATCGTCCAGCTATTTTCAATTCAGTCTGTGATAGTAATTATGATTTAAAACCTTTAGATACAAGTTCTGAAGAGAATTTTTCTAGTCCTATACAGAAAGAAAATAATTCCGAAGTAATGATTACAGTCAAAAATTATCGAACAGATGTAAGTAAGCTTAAGAAATCATGTAACTGAATTTTATATTCAATAGCAGGGATTAAATCTTTTATATTTATAGGATTTCAAACATGTATGTATGCTACAAGTTGTTCATAAAACCAATAAGTCAACTGAAAATTTTGCTGTAGAAGAGTTACGTTGCTGCAGTAAACAAGATCCGATCGAGTTGCTAACTAAAGGTAAAGATTTCGCTAATCAAAATAACTTTAAGCATGAACTAATGTATTGAAATAATCTTTCACATTTTAGTGCAGAAAACGTTCGGACAAATCGTAAGAAAAGAAATAACCATAGCAAATAAAGAACACAAATGTGCAGATCGACAAGACATAAACGTGACATTCAGAAAACAGATTCTTTGATCACTATTTTGATTTAATACTCCAACAAACGTATCGTACAAATTGAGTAAGTTATCCTAATGTTTGGTAATTGTAATTTGCCATAATATTTACGGTTTTTATTATTTTAATTACATGTAGGTGCAATATTTGTGATGTTAGAAGTGAAAATGTAAACGTCTATGATAGACGATGAAATTAAAATAAAAAAAGAAGTGACAAAGTGTGTATTTAATTTACGAACTGAGACATGATTTTTAATAAACGATCATAAATTAGTTTATTGGCGTCGTTAGCGAAAACAAAATCTAAATGATTGAATGACTTCATTGGTACTAGATACTTGCCAACGACGACAGGCAGTTCCAGCATTAGTCTGTGAACATCAGTCGGAGTCGACAACCAATCATTATCAGCATAATGTAAGAAAACTGGTGTCGTTATGGCAGTTAAATTATATGACGGCGGTTTCCTACTGCCATAGATACGTTTGTTCTTGAACCTTCCATAATCGAATTGGACAAATTTGTTTGAGTTATACAGCTGACCGAAGTGGATTATTTGCTTCGTCGATGCGCCGGCAGGAGTATGTCCAAGTACCACTGGCAACATTGTCTGGAAATAACATTTAGTGATTCTTAATAAAAAAAAATACAGCTAATGGATGAAAATCGATTTACACGTCTTCCTTATCGTTATGCCTAGTAACTATTAACTCGTATGGGGCATGTTGAGTTCCTCTGAAGTTGATGACAAGAAACCTTTGTCATCAGCTTCATAACGCATCACGCATGATGCGTGCAGGTTTCTTATTTTGAAAAAATATGTACAAAACCTACGAAGGCTTTAACTTACGCTATTCAGTTGTTCATTGTTAAATCCGCAAATAAGAAATAATAGATTTTTACATAAAACTTGTGTCAGAGCCTCTTCTAAGCAGTACTTTTCTCCGGCTAATTCATTTATTTTACCATTAGGCAAAAATTCGTTGGCACCTAGCATTTTCATGACTACCTAAAAATTAGAAGACGTAATCAAAATAATTATTTCACTTTTATTATTAAGAACTCTGTCTCTGAAGATTCTTATTCCTTTCTTAGAAAATTGCTTACTTCAACGGAATTTGTGAAGGGTCCAAGAGTTTTTATAAGAGGGCTTCTTATGTGACTTATAAACGCGATAGGAGCTAGAGCATGCATGGCTGATATTTTATTGTTATATTCCGGTCTCGTAGATGCCATTACCCAGAAAGCTGTTGTGCCTTGAGAGAATCCAATATATTGGATGTTAGCGACACCTGTTTCTTTGAGGATATAATCTATCATAGCTGGTAGATCGTAGTAACCTATCTCGTGCCAACTAAACTGCCAAAATGATGATTGCGTAGGTTTTATGGAAGCGTGATGCCGAGAGTAGGTGTTGCCTCTGGCGTTTCCCATCCACACATCATAACCTGCATCGGCTAGAATATAGGCTGTAAATTAAAAATACTTTTAATCAAAGTAAGATTTACTCGTATTACTATTGTGTACAATTTATTACTTCGTATAGTGCATATTTGTTATAATTATTTCTAGTGGCTTGTCTTACCAAGTCCCTTCCCAGGTCTCATAAGTACCCATTCCGCTGAGGATGAAAGTAAGCCATGTTGGAGAAATATAACTGGCCGCTTGATATTAGTTGTTTTGTTTACGCCATGAGGTACTCTGTGCATTTCCAAAATATATTTATCTTCTGTATACACTCTATGTATCTCACAAGGATAGCCATATTTACGAATAAGTGTGAACTGTGAAACAAAGGAAACTTAATAGAATGCTAGCTTTCGTTAGTGACTCCATCCGCGTGGAGTTAAAAGTAAGTAAACACGTAGAGAAGTGGGTGAAGGGTGGAAGAACTTCCATACTATGCTCTACATCTATGCCAAATTTCTTCGAGATCCGTTCAGCAGTTTAGGCTACAAACTCTTACAAATATGCATCCATCCACCTAAACTTTCTAGAATCCTAGATATCTGCTTATACAAGTAGTTATATCGATAATATTCGAATAAGATGTCGAATAAAAAAACTTCGATTTTTTTTAAGAAGTCAATAGTAGGCGCTAACGTATACAAGCTTGTTTGGTTCTTTGATAATTACATCTCGTTAAGTTTGTTTTTTATTTTTATTTATTTATAAGTTTGTTTTTAAAAGTAACCGTTATAAAGTTATTAATAATAGAAAAACTTACGGTATCCAAAGTTGAATCTTCTATAATACTTTGATCTGTCCTAACGATTTCTTGTACATAATTGTCTCCAAGAACACTGACTATATACAGCAAAATTAATTGGTACGGTATTTTAACTGACGTCTGTTTATAATTCATATTGTCTGCAAGATTATGTTTTATGTTTTAACATGACTGATAATTCGTAAAGTATGGATTAAATGATAAACTATTACAAGAGTAAATATAACATTTGCTTTATCTATTTAAGTACTAAGTATACAAAATAATTTAGTAATCGTTACTGAATTGACGTATACTATTATTTATACTTATGTTTTGTTTGTATTATTTACTAGCTATCGCCCGCGACTCTATCCGCGTGGGATTAATAAAAAAGGTGAGTAGCCTATGTATTCTTCAAGACTACCCTCTAAATCTATACCAAATTTCATCGAAATCCGTTCAGTCGTTTAGGCTACAAACTCGTAACAAAGAACCAACCATCCATCCATCTATCTAAACTTTCGCATTTATAACATTTATATGATTACGATTATAAATATAATTATGTTTGTGTCCTTGTTAATAAAAACATATTTCTATTCAAACACTTCTAGAAGATAGAGGGAAGAAACTTAGAGTGCGGATTACTTAGTAAGGGTATTCCAACCATTTGACTTCCGTAAAGCTTATCAGATCAGCTTCGAGCTTAAATGGAACAGTTACAAGAAATAATAGGAAACTCTTAAGTTTGTTATATTAAAAACTAGCTGTTGGTCGCCACTTCGCCCGCGTGAAACAAAAAATAAAATAAAAAATGTAATGCATTAAATGTGATATATGTTACTCGGCAATAACGTATCTTTACAATGCTGAATTTTTTAAATTGGCCCAGTAGTTTTTATACTATTTCAATACATATAAAAATACAGAACTACAAATCTATCTTTTTTTATATTAGTATAGAGTATAGATTGAAGACAAACATGTGGTACTTAATTTCATTAGCGAAATGTTTCTATTATCGTTTATAACCAGGCTAAGCATAAATATTAAGATTAAATTACACTACGCTACTGATGTTACAACATGTTAGTTGATTATTTAAATCGCGTTGTTTCTCAATGTTAAATAATTAGATATAGATATAATAAAATGATAAATCTTTAACTGTGGCAAAAGGTATTTAATAACCTTTGATGCGTTCAAACATCAAATAAATGTTAGTTTATTTATTTTATTTTATTTATAAATAGAAACGATAGCAACGTCTGTCCGTTAATATTGAGTTAATCTTTATTTACATACTAACAATACGATATATAAGCACCACTGACTGCGGAATTTGATGATTAAAGCAACCAGTGGTCAAAGCTGCAGACATAATCCTCACTAAGCCTACTACTAAAATAACCACATTTTGAATCCAATAGTCTAAGAGAGAAGGTAAGGAGTAAAAGGTTGGCATGGTATGAGCATGTTATGAGGAGGTATGAGTCGCATGTAACAAGGAAAACTTTAGTAATGAGTGTGGAGGTACATCGGTAAAGGTAGACTTAAAGATAGATGGATTGCGTGAAAGGTAATATGATCAAGAAGGGAGTGATGACTGTCATCTGACTTAGGATAGAGTTATGTAGATGACAAATCCTATTGCGCCGACCCTACGGGAGTAGGATAAGGAGGAATATGATAAATCTAGCAAGAGCTTAGGGTCCTCCAAGATGCGAGCCTACAATTTCCTCAAAGGCCAGCAACGCATCTGTGTTGCCGCCGCTTGTTTGCCCCCTTGTCTTATAAAAAAAAGAGCTTCTTGAGCTGGCCGAAGTTCTTAACTATTAGTCCATTCTACAATACAACAATCGGAATAATGGTAGTAGATTGCATACACCAAAAGGGGATAACCTCGTTATGGTGCATTATACATTTACATACTACATATTTTCATAAATATTTCATGGTAAAAATAAATTAGTACGTGTTCCTCTTAGGTCACTAAGAGGTAAATTATTTTCAAATATTAATTGAACATTATCCTTGTACCAAAGCTTCTATGTATAATGTTAAACAATATATTTTTACAGTCTATACTTAAGGCGAAGCCATCCATTTATGTTGTTTAAAATAATTTTATGTTTAAAATAAAATGTTCACATTTTTAGGGTTACAAAGAGACGAGATTAGATTAGGGGACTTCAGCCCTCTACCCCTACTGGCGATGGCCAATGATATACAAATTCTTGAATAATTCGTTAATTCATCTACATTAATATTGTACTAAAATCATAAATGCGAAAGATGATATGGATGAATGTTTGTAAGAGTTTGCCGCCTAAATGACTTAACGGATCACGATGTTTAGCATCGATGTAAATCATAGTATAGACCAAGTCGCGGGTAAAAGCTAATTGTAAGATAATTTTAATTTAACTGATTATTTTTGCTTACTTTGCGTCGCCTTAAGCAATCAAAATGCACAATGGACGTGTGGGTTATTCATGATCGTTACTTATTGTAAACAAGTGGTACATATCACAATAAAATGTATTTCAAAATAGTATTAAGCTTGATATTAAGTTTATTAATATCTACAGTGTATAGTTTAGATTTATGTGAAAATCACAAGAATTGTGACAAATGTATTATGGATCCGAATAACTGTGTTTGGTGTGCCGAGGTAAACGTTTATTTCATCTCATATTTTAATAATTATTTTATTAAATTCCTACTTAAAAGAAATGTCAAAGCAAAACAAATGTTATTACTAGTTTGAAAACTTTAAATCAATCTGTTAAGTAACTTAAATACTATATGTTGCGCGTAACTTATTAACTATACCGTTTAAAGTTAGAAGAACTTCATAATTTTGTATTACTTATGTATTCCAGGACAATTATAAAAATGATCGCTGCAAATCCGTTTTCACTGAAGATTGGTGTCCTTCTCATAGGATAAACCCAACTAGC